CCGGCGGCATTTTCACTGGCTCGCCTGCAGCAGAGACATAAACTAAGTACATACCCTCCTCCTGATGTTGCTTATAGTAGTTATAGAACGCGGCCGCACACATGCATCCATGGGAATCGATCAGACTACTAGCTTTGAACTTGTGTAATCTGGCGGTCCCTCCACCTGGCAAAGTGTGCTTGACCACTTTTCGGTCTCAGTCAAACTGAGGCTGAGCCACAGAGAGGTAGTACATACCTAACAAGATATCCATAGGGAGATCGTCGCTCACTAGAAATGAGACACAACGCCTAAACTCCCCTCCCGCGAACGGGAACAAGCATTCGACATCCTGAAGGTAGTCATTGACTACCATGCGCTGTTTGTTGGCACAGGTGGACTCCACAGGTCGACTCAGGCGCTGCACTTGCCCCTGTAAACACAACCTCTCAACGCACGCTGTCGCACTTTTTCTAGTCCGGCCACTTTGGGCGACCAGAAAGCCAACAGGCTGTCACGCAGGATTTTGTTATGTGCTTGCAATAAATAAATTGATTAAATAATGCGAATCCCTTCCTGTTGTGTGCGTCCGGCTTCGAGCGAGACCCTTCAATTGCGGTCTTCGCCAGTCCCCGGTCTTAGGAATTTTTTATTTTGATTCGGAACAACAAAGAATTATTTATGCAAATAATAATCATAAAATTATGGGGTGCTATGCATGCATCATTTATGTCAATCTGATTTTGAGAACTGTGACAAAATCGTCAAAGAGTGCAAACATCAAGCATGACAATGCAAAAAAAAAGCGAGACTGACTGACTCGAGCAAGGACTAGATCAGATGAATGAAGGATGAATGAGAACTCATAATAATCTCAGAAAGTACACATAAACGAGCATGGTCAACACCTCTCAAGAGTCCTCACTCATCACTCTGGTCAGTCTCTCTCAATCTCTTTTCACTGGTCTTCTCTGGCGTCGTGACCCACGCCCACGTACAATCTGAGACTGAGGCTTCGTGACAAAATGCCACCTGAAGCCAGCAAGCTCTGAGCATGACCATCCGAGGTACATGACACGATAGTTAACCATGGAGCAAAACTCCTCCCACAAAGTAGGCAGTCCGTCCACTGAAAAGACTCCTCGTCTGAGGTAGGGATACTCGGTGGGCTCGGTCAGCGCCTCAACGTCGATCACTGCCGGAGAGATATACCTCTTTGCCAAACCAATCACATCCAGCCAACTCGTGCCATCTGTGAAAAGAGGAGGAACGGGAGGCCTAGGATAGTCAGTATAAAGCATTGGCCCGAAGCTGCGGATCAACGTAGTGCCATTCTCATCGAGCTCCCTCTCTCTCTACTCAAGGTATTCGGTGGCTGAGATCCAGACTGGATCGAAAAGTTCATGAGCCTCCTTGCCCTTCTTCAGGTAAGGCCTCAGATCGTGGATAGAGCCATCAACAAAACTGTTTTGGACAACGAAGATTGACAGACCTCCCTGTCTGAAACCAATGGCACTATCATACTGATAGCGGAATGCCTCCTGGCATTAAATCCGATTGAGATTGGCCAGCACCGACTCGCTGACTCGAAAGAATTCGACTGTACTCATGGGTGTGGTGCCTGCTGTTTGCTGACTTTTTATGACTTGATCGCCGATCTGATTACTAAACTGGTTGCTGAATTGATTGCTGAATGTCCGGATAAGTGAGTTGTTCTTGTCCAGAGACAAAACGCTTACTGGTGGCTGCCAACAGTCCTCCTTGATTCCTTAATAGTACCCACAGAAGTTATGGTGGCACATAGTCTGTCGTTCTTATCATGCAAGTAGTATGTGTACTCGATTTTTGTATGATTCCTCACGAGGGCCAGTGCATGTTCCATCATCATAGTAGTTCTGCAGATTGTATTCCTCAACTGCACTCCCCCTCCAGGTCTTTGCAGTGCTCTGATACAGCGATCAGGAAACTCTAACTGTGTTGCTGTTGTCCATATTCTCGTCGAACTCTCGCTACATCAGTTCACCCAACTCGAGACGGGTGACTCTTGGATGATCCAGTTGTGAAAAGGCTATTAGGTAGATTGCTATTTCGAATAGTTGTTTCAGATTGCCGTTTCTTGTTGCTGTTCCTAGTTGTCGTTCTCCAGTTGCCGCTCTCTGGATGCTGTCCTCCGTTATCGTTCGCTCATTGTTTGGCTACCAATTGACTGCTACTACTAAGATTACCGCTCCGAAGGGTTGTTTCCAACTACTGGCTGGTCGCTATTCTGAGAACTGACTGGTTGCTGTTCTGAAAACTGGCTGGTTGCTGTTCTGCAAACTGACTGGTTGTTGTTCTCCGGTAGCTGTTCTCCGGTTGTTGTTTTCTGGTAGCTGTTCTCCGGTTGTTGTTTGTCTGTTGTTCAGTTTTCCAATTTGACTGCTGTCACTGGGACTGCCGCCCTGAAATGTTGTTTCTAACTACTTGACTGGTTGCTGTTTCCTGAATGTCGTCTGAGAACTTGATGCCACTGACTGATTGCCGTTCTGGAAATTGATTGCTGATTCTGATTGTGAACGCTGTTTCTTGGATGCAGATTCTGATTCTGAACACTGTTCCCTGGATGCTGATTCTGAAAACCAAATGTTTTTGGGATCATTGACTGAGGGATAAACGCTGTTGAGTTTACTAGCTGAGGACTGATTGAGATCCGCACTGATCATTGAGACTAAACCTGTGTCTTCCTGCAAAAACTCGGTCGGGTCGGTACTGACTTAACATGTCTTTGATAAGAACTCATTTCTGACTCAGAGCCCCTGTGTCAAAATTAGTAGCTGAAGGCTGAATGATCTCGGACTGGGACCTCCAGCAATGTTAATGATTGAGTGTCGCCAAAAACAATCAACTGCTGAACACTGACTGTTTGAGTAAACTACAGATTGTCGATTGATGCTTGCTAATCGGGGGGCATGTAGAGGCTTTCAAGAGTGGAAACCCGACACACCTACGTTCAACAAAACTCTTGCTCTGGCCTGCTCCGCCGTTTCCAACGATGAACTGGTGCTATGTAGCTTCCCACAATGGTCGTAGAAATAGAGTACATATTCGATATACTTTTCCTCCCTAAGCATCTTGATTGCCTGTTCTCTCTGAATCTGCTTATGCATTTCCATATCTCGACACGCTTCTTCAACCCATTCCCCCTCTTTATTCCTTTTTGAAATACCCTTTACTACGAGAACCTCGCCCCTTTTCATGATTTCTCTGATACCCTGTAGCTTAGAGTATAGTTAACAGATTTCATCAGGGGAAGAGGACTGGATACTGGCCCTGGCAGCAATTGCGGACTAGAGTCGAAGTTATCTCGACAATAACCCGTTTTCGAAGGCTATAATCACACTTGAGGCAGGAATACATGCGTCCCCTTTTGCATCGCTCGGCCAGGAATACTGTATACTCAGGCTATGAATGACTGTGGTTTCGAGACTTTGCTCAAGCTTATGCCTTAACTCTTTCGGTGCACGATAGTACAGTCCACAGTTCTTCGTTTTAGGCAGTACACATGCAGACTCCCCTCACCTCTATTATCCAAACGAAGGGCATAGGTCATCCTCACCCTGTCTCAGTTTTCCATTATTATCGCACCTCTCCTACCGTTCAAACTGGAGCTTGCAGAGACAGGATTGGAAGTAGAGAGCCATGAACATTTCTCATGAGATTTGGTCGGGCTATTTTCACTTAATCCACGGACGCTGACTCTCAGTCGTGCGCATATTAAGCCCCAGAGTAACCTGGACAGATGATTGTGGAAAAACGGATCAACTGCAATAGCGAGGGATGAGGCATGCTGTTTTTGAGATTTCCATGGAGACACAAAAGGAAAAAAAAAAAAAAGGATTCTCAGCACCCCCGAACGAAATAACGGTCGAGTAGGAGATTTTCTTTCTGCTAATTATGGGCTCTGATTGCTGTATCACGGCCTGAGTCTAAAGGTTCTGATACTCAGGTAAGAGCCAGTATGATCGGAACTTTAGCCCGGAAACAGAGACTCTGGTCCTCGGAGGGGTTTTCATGCATTCAACACAACGAATCCAAATGTGACCGAGTACGATCAGCTCAGCCACTCATACGCCGCGTGATATTCAACCCGGATACCAGGGCTCAACCTTAGGGTCTAAATATAACCCACTCACCCTCCCTCAAAAGCAGGCCATAATCGTTATGCCACCCTAACTAAGAGTTTGACTGGGTCTTTCACCCTAGCTCCCTGATTCCTGGTACCCGACTAGTTCGTATTCAAGTTCAGTGGAAACATACAGGGGCAAAATAGACACTTAGTCGCCATCAAGTAGCAGTTTAGCAAGCACATAAAATATTTTCCTTAGTATTGCTTTTCTTTTCCCCATCTAATCAAAAGCCAAGGCACACAACACGGCCAACGTTAATCATCTTTACATTCCCTTTTGACGTACGAGCCCACTCAGCAAGCACGGAAATAAGCCTGCGTACTCGATCAATAGCCTGCCTACTATCATCGAGCCAGCAGTGCATTCGTTCGTGCATTCGTCTACACACGCAGGCATTTGCCGGCTCGAAGAAAAACACGCACTCAATTTATCTCAGGACACAAACGAACTCGTACCACTATATGTAACCATTCAATCAGATAAGCACACACGAGCCTATGCTTTCACACACTAGTGCAGTCACCCGGTGCAATCACACAATGCAGACACTCGGTGCAATCACACAAATGCAGTCACACGGCGCAGGCTCACAGTGCAGTCATGCAGTGTATTTGTAAACTCAGTCTTCGCCGCCAGCACGTTTCAAACCGTCACTATGAGTAGGGGCTTTTCCCCTGCTCACCCGCTAACGCAGCCTACTGTGGGCTTTACCCTTGCCAAGAAGTAGCATGATCGATTAACAATGATCAATCGTTCCAATAAACAAACCAAAAATAAAAGAAACTAAAATTAATAAG